TGTTATGCATCAGAGAGTTGGACAATGACTAGTGAGGATAGAAGGAGAATTGATGCCTTGAGCTATGGTGCTGGAGAAGAGTATTGAATGTACCATGGACTGCCAAGAAAACAAACAGATTCATCCTGGAGAGGGTTAAATCGGGCTGCTTGGAGGCAAGAATTCTGGGGCTTCGTCTGACATACTTTGGACATCTTGTAAGGAGGGACAGGTCCTTGGAGAGGGACATCAAGCTTAGTAGGGTGGAGGGACAGCACAGGAGGGGAAGACCCTCTATGAGGTGGATTGATTCAGTGAGTAGGGTAATCGGGATGGGTGTGTCAGAGACAGTGCAATTGGCACAGGACAGAGCAGGGTTTAGGGCTATTGTACATAGGGTCACTATGAGTCGCAAGCAACTCGACAGTGCATAACAACAACAACAACAATGGACAGACCCTAAAGATTTAATAAAAATATTAAACTCACATCATTCAAGGCCAATTCTGCCAAAGAATGGGAGGTATTACTGTCAATTAGCTGGAAAATGGTGCTTCTACCTGCTAATGATACAAGAGAAATTTACAATTCGCTTGGCCTGTTAGCTTTGGAAGTAGGTAATTTATGACAAGTTCTAAAAATTTGTGGAGGATTGTAATAATAGAAAATATGATGGGAAGAGGAAAAAATATAGGAAAAGTGTCTTTGGTAATACTTTAATTTTGCAGTCATTCAAATTCAAATTTACAGACACTGGAGCCACACTGGACTTGGTTTTAGGGTAACTGAAAGGTACAAGATCTCCTCATATCAATTTCAACAGATACTGGGCCAAGCCAGGAGCATTCAAACTTTCTCCTGGAGGGAAGCAACACTCCATTCGAGGTTCTAAGGCACAAAGGAGGCTTCTATGAGCAAAGAGAAGCTGGTCAAGTGCAATGGAGGTGTCCAACACCATTTTAGTCAGTGGCTTTTAGTTTTCTTTTTAAAGGATTTCTTACATATTTAAATTTTAACAATTAAAGAAATGCACATTCACTGACCTCTAAATGAACAGTTTTTAAAAACATTTTATATTGATTTGCTTACAAGTTCTTATACATTGTTTCATAATATTCTTCACTAATTACTTTTAATTTTCCTTCCTTCCCCATTTTCTTTTTACTTTCTTTAAACAAAATGTTAAAGAAGTTACTTGAGAGGAAAATTCCCTGGCACAACATGAAAGATAATATATTCCAACTTGTCATTTATGTCTGTGTTTTTCTTACCACTTTTTTCTAAAGAAACAGAGTATCCTGAGGACTAATTTTGTTCCCTGCTATTGTTTCTTCCTTGCCTGACATGTCATTTATAGTAGTTGCTTTGATTCTAGTAAATGGAAAAGACTCTGAGACCATTGTCTCCTCTTCCTACCTATAAGTCCTTTGGTGCCAGAGTTAAACATCTGCTGCTATCCTGTGTGTTCAGATTGCATGCCTGACCTGATTGGCCAAGAGACCAAATACGTTGTCTCCATCACCTACCAAGCAAGGAGATTCCTTCTGGTTCCGACTCTGTGGAATGAGCAAACCAGGTGAGTGTTGCTCTGGGAAAGCCCTGGAGTGTGTCTGCTGTGGTTTTTGGCAATGTTCTCAAACAGAATCTCAGTCCTTGGAAAAAATAGCTGAGAGGAAGTGGCTAGAGAAACAAATGACTTGTAAAGAACATTGCCATTTTGCTGATTTAAAAAAATATCATTTCATCATTTATAAATTTGTCTCAGAAATTATTTTAATAAAATGAACTATGAATGCAACATTTCTTTTTTTTGTAAATTTGTCTGTCAGAAATTATTTTAATAAAATGAACTATGAATGCAACAGTTCTTTTAAGCAATGTTTTTAAAAAAGTAAGTCTTTTGAGGAACCTCAGGGTGAGTTTGAACTGCTAACCTTACAGTTAGTAGTGGAGCAGTTATCCAATTATATTATGCAGTTATCTACCTGACCTTAAGGCTCTAGACCTTTCCTTATGCCTCTGTCTTTTGTGACTCCACAGAAGGACTAGTAAGCAGGGAGGGGAAGTCTCAAATAAACTACTCCTCTTGTTTCTAATCAGAGCTGAAAATTGCTCAAGCCTCCTTTAATTTGCAGGGTGAGCTGTGTGTTTGTGGGGGTTTTTTTTGTGCTTAGCAAACAAGGTTGTTCCACAAAAAAGTCACTTACTATTTCTTTTTTGTAGGATTTAGTTACTAACAAGGAGTACTTTTAGAATTACAAAAGAAAAGAAATTTTTCTTTGGGAAAGAAAATGTCTAAAAGATTTTTTTTAAGCTGTGCTGCCTCTGAATGTTTAGAACCTGGAGTGCAGGGCTCCACTATCATTAATCACAAGACACACGGTTAACTCGTTGCCTCTAAACTCTGAAACAATAGTTGTGACAGCATTATACAGAGTCCTGGGTTTGTGCAAGTACCATGTTTATCTTACTCTTTAATTTTCATGGGGAAGAAGTTAAAAGACCTAAAGAGGCTTTAACTGAATTACTTCATTTATTCTGAGCACACTTTTTCCTATTCTATAACTAATCAAGTTAGCTTTATTGTGAAATTTGTCAGAATTTCAAAGATATTTCCCCCAAAAATGCAATGGTCCTTCTTCTTTGACCTAAGTTATACAAGTTTTGCTAGGATATTATTGGTACTCAGTCTTCCAGAGAAAAAGTACTTGGCAAGGTTTAAGTAACAATGAACATTATTAGTACCTCAAAGAGAGCTGAAAACCAAGGAGAAAAAGTTCATGTGCATGATGCTTCAGAAAAGAAAGGTAATTATACCCCATTTCAGAAGCAGGCAGAGGGATTGTGTTTACCTTAAAAACAAACCCACCATGTTGGAATTTCAAGCACAACCTGAATCATTAATGGAAGTCTTAATTATAGATCAGTAGAAGTTGGGTCTCATACAGCATCTCCATAGGACAGAATAAAACTATTTAACAGAGAGAGCTCTGGTGGGTTAGTGGTAAGGAGTTGCACTGCCAACCCCAAGGCTCTTTTCAAATCCACCAGATCCTCTGTGGGAGAAAAATGTAAAACTGTCTTACAGAGTTTATGAAAGTATAGATTTTTTTAAAATAGAAGTACAAGGCTGTATCGTTTTTCCTGTGGAATAGCTGGTAGACCTGAAACACTGACCATTTGGTTAGGTGGTGGTTTTGTTATTGTATGCCATCGAGTCAGAACTGACTCACAGCTGACCCTCCAGCAGGATCTCAGAGGCAGTAACTCACACTGGAGGAGTTTACCCATGATTCTCTCGCATAGCAGCTAGGGGATTAGAACCTTATGCCTTAGTGTTGGCAGAGCAAATTCTTCCAATGAGGCCACCTGAGATCCCTCCCTCTTGCTTAGCATATGAGTATTTGAAATCATGGTGCCACCAAGGCATCTTTTACAAAGTCTTTCTAAAAAGCAAATTAAGGGCATAACAAAGTAGTAGACTAAATACCTGTGTAAAAAATTCCATGAAATAAATTAACTTTAAAAATCCCCAACTCGCTCAAATTCATTGTTATTGAATGAATATCCACTCACAGGTGACCCACCAGCAGACTTTCAGAGGTAATAAATCACCTAGGAAAATCTATCTCCCAAGAAGCACTTAGTCGATTTGAACTGCCTTCTTTTGGGTTGACAGTACAATTTCTTACCTACTAGGCCACCAAAGCTCTATAAATAAGTCCATAGCAGCATTAAATTAAGTTCACATATGCTTTGTCAAAAGGAGCACTGGTAGCCGAGTGGCAAGAAACTGTACTGTAATCTCGAAGGCACGTGGTTCGAATCTGCCAGCTGCTCTGCCAGAGAAGAATGGGTAATCTCCTTACGTGCAATTAATGGCCTCTGAAAACTTGCCAGAGGGTCATATGGGTCAGTTCTGACTTGATGGTACACAACAACAACAACAACATCCTTAGTCAATAAAGATGAGTGAGGTGGAGTAGAAGGCATGTCATTAATGAAATAAAGACAATGAATCAGAGGAGTCACTCTAGAGAATATCTCTATAAAAGGCTTTTGTGCAGATGCACAAGGTGGCTTGAACCCAGTTACTGGCTTTGGGAAATATTGTTATTTTTATCTACCATCAAGTCAGAACCGACCCATAGCTGACCCTCTAGAGGGTTTTCAGAGGCATTAAACTGTTTGGGAGAAGACTGCCCATCTGTCTCCTATGGAGCAGCTGGTGAATTTGAACCATGTGCTTTGGAGTTGGCAGCACAGTTCATGAAAACTAAGACACCAGAGCTTCCCTGTGTGAAAGATTACAGCCTAGAAAACTCCATATGGCATGTTGGGGGCCACTACGAGTCAAAATCAACTTGACAGGCAAGAACACAGGAGGAAAAAAACCCCAAAACCCAAAAAACCACAATCCAACACTAGCAAATAGTTGAAAAAAAATCACATGAGTATTTGTTAATTCACTGGCAAATACTGACTAACAAAACAATCATATAAGCTAACAGGTGCCCATGAGCCACTGTGAGGTGGAACTGGCTCAAAAGTAGTGGATTTCTGTCTCTGTAAATTTTCATTGAAATTAGTAATAAAAAAAATTAAAAAGAAAAATACAAAATGTGAAGAAAAAAGGTAATGGATTTCTAGCAGCTAGGACAAGGTAAAAAAAAATTTGAAGGTTTTTGCAGATTCCATGAGGACTTGTGGTTTAGACATAGTGATCTGAGATGCTTAACACAGAACAAAACAAACTGAACCAGATGCTGGTGCATCGGTTTTTGCCTCCCAGAGGCTCCGTATGTGTGAGTGTAGAACGGTGTTCCCAGTGGCTGATGCCTCAGAAGGAGATCTCCAGGACTTTTCTTCAGAGTATCTGTGGGTAGACTTGAACCTCTAGTCTGTAGTTTAGCAGCTGACCTTGTAACCATTTTTGCACCACCCTGAGATGCGAGCCAGCTCCCGACCCATCGTCCTACTATCACGAAGCAGCATGTATGTTTAAAAGCGCGAGTACTCACGTGGTATTATGCCTTGGTTAGCCAGCTGCTCCTGGGCTCTTCTCTGCTGAAGTCGTAACTGTAAAACTTAGAAAAGAAAGTGTTGGTTTGCAGGCTGGGTCTACAGAGACTTTATATTTGTTATGCTTACAATCGTTTATACTTTCATCATGTTTGCACATTTCTTTTCGCTTTATTCCTTGAACATTCTGGGAGTCATTACAAAAAAATATTTTTAAATTATGGGTTTCTGATGAAAGAAGGGTCAGAGACGCGAAGGAAAAGAATTAGAACAAGATGAGGTCAGAATACCTGTGTCTTTTTTAAAGAGAATATTCTTTTTACAGTACCATGAGGCATATGATACTCCATATTTCCCACGAGTCCATCTGGGAGATGAAAATAATAAAATTCTGGTTGGGGTATAGTTAATACCAGTTGTCCTCCAGCTAGTTCCAACCCATGGGAACTCCATTTATGTTAGAGGAGAACTAACTACTTGGAGTTGTCAAGGCTGTGACCTTTATGAAACAGGTCACCAGGCCTTTCTTCCAAGGCACCTTTGTGTGTGTCTTCCAGTTAGTTACACATTTAACCCTTTGTGCCTCCAATGGACTCCAAAGAAGAGAAAGAATGGGAAAAAGTGTCTGGTTTGCAGTTTATTCTGGGTTTAGATCCTCATTCTGCCCTCTGGGTAGGTTTCTTCACCTCTCTGACCTTCATTTGAAGCTGTGAACAATGCCTACATTCTACCCCTGAGGTGCTGTTACGAAGTTTAGTAAAACAAGTTTAGCAAAACAATACCCACATGCTGCTTCCCAGAGTGGCTGGCACATGATAGGTCAACCATAAATGGTAGTATTTTGAAAGAAACGGAATTCTATTTGGGAATGCAAAGAAAGGGATATTAGATTTAGTTTACTTAGAAAAAATCACAACATTGTTAAAACATCCAAACAATGCTCTATAGTACAAAAATTCATGTTACTATTCATAGCACAAATGTAGTGTGTGTGTGTGTGTGTGTGTGTGTGAAATTACGTGCACAGAATTTGTAATTTTCTCCTTCCCCAAATGCATCCATTTCTGGACATTCACGATCTCCCCTTGGAGAGCCCATCGCCCTGTGGAGGGTCTGAGTCTGGGTCTGAGATCTTCGTGCCTGGTTTAAATTGTTCGGAATAAGGGTAGAAAGAGCAGAAATTTGCAAAGAGCAAGATTTCTCTTGATTTGTATATAATGACGAGACAAATATGAAAGACTTGTTTTTCGTTTTTAAACGATAAAAAATACTTATTAGAAAAAAATTAACACTATTTTGGAATGGTTGTAAGGCAAGAAAGTGGTGAGAAATAGAACCAGGGCATAAAGGATGACTGAGGTAGAGGGGAGTTGATAAAGGGCCTTTCATGGTTGTTGGTAAGACTGCACATTTACACAGTGTTACAGTATTTCATGTCTGTAGATTGTGCAGGATTAATGGTGCATACTGTAATTCATAAAGCAACGAGCAAAAAAATACAAAGAGGTATAGCAGAAAAGCCAATAAATTAAAATACATTGCTAAAAATACTCAAAGAATAGCACAGAAGTCAGGAATGAGGAGAAAGGAAAAAGAACTAGAGAGGACAAACAGAAAAAGGATAATAAACTGGTTGACCTAAATCCAACCGCATCACTAAGGACATTAAGTTCTTGGGGTTTCCCCCCAAAGGCATCAATCTTTCTTCTGCGATCTTTATTTATTGTCCGATTCTCAGACACATAATAGGTAATTTTAAAAGTCATGGCTTGATCAGGCACATCTTTTTTTTTATGAAATAAAATGTTTATTTTATACTAGTTTACTTACAAAGTTTGTATAAATTGTTTTTCACATCAGATCTTTCCCATTTCCTTACCCACCCTCCCACCACCCATCAAATTGTGCAACTCTATAATTATTACTCCAAGCCCATCCTCATTCTTCTGCTCCCCCCGCACCTCACCTTGGACCCTCATACTCGTTCTATAATAATACTGTTTATACAGTATTTGTCCTTATGAGACTGAGTTAGTTCAGTCAGCATAATGCTCTCCAGTTTCTCCCAAGTTAGGTAGTGATTTACAACATCATTGCTCCTGCATGCTGCACAGTATTCCATTGTGTGAAAGGATATTAAGTTTTAATTATAAAAACACATAAATGACAGAGATAAAACAGATTTGAAAAAAATAATATCCTATTATATACCATCATTCAGAAAACACATTTAAAATTTCAAATTTATTTGGAAGCAAATAAATGAACAAAAGATCTACGAGAGAAACAATAAACATAAGAAAGGTGGCTAGAGTCATATAAAATAAAACCAATTTCAAGACAAATTATTACCAGAGAGAAAGAGAAACCTTTTGTAATTATAGAAAGAAAAATTCCCCACACATTATGTTAGATAAAGGGAAAAGCAATATATAATAGTGATCAGAATAGTACATTTAAAGAGAGAGAAGACACAGAGAGATGCATAAGAGACAAAGAAGAAAAAACCCACTACAACATAAGCAACCCTTGCTTTCAGCAGTAACAAATATTAGGTTACAAGGGGATACATTGGCAGACAGGCAAGACAAACAGATAATGGTCAAGTAAAAGAAACCCATTCATGATCACCCATGCACTTGGCAGACAATATTTAACCATTTATATTTGTTAATGCTTACATACATCCATGTACAGCCAATGGAGGGCAAAGTTATATAGCTATATTGTCCCTCTCTCTCTCAATCTCTCTCTCTCATTTCTGTTAAGTTGTAATCAACTCATATCTAGTGTTTTTTCAGAGGCTGTAAATTGCGTGGACGAGATTGCCCAGCTTTCTCCTTTGGAGCTGCTGATGGATTTGAACTGTCAGAGAAGTGGCATCTTTGGTTAAGAGTGCAGCACTCCATGAACTAAGCTACTGGAGCTCCTTATGGAGGCCTAGTGATAAGGAGCTGCTCTGCCAACTCAAAGCACCCAGTTCAAATCCACCAGCTTCTCTGAAAAAGAAAAATGGGCAATCTCCTCCCATGTAATCATACTGCTTCTGTTGGAGGGTCAGCTATGAGAAGCCTCAATGATACAAAACAACAACAACAACAACAGGAATCACAGTTAAATATCCTGAGAGAATGAGATAATGGTCCTGTGGCCTCAGTTTCTGATGAGACAAATATCAATTAGCATAACAGAGTCCACAGTGATAATGTTCTATGTTCTACGTCACATGAGTTATATGATAATGTTATATACATAGAATAACATGGGAAACATTGCACAGTGTGAATATAATATTAGCTAATGATACACTATAATAGCATAATAGAAAAATATTTAGAAGAGGCCATAGCAAAAGAGACATTATCACCAATGTCAGATGGGTCTTTGGCTGAAAGCAGAGCACCAGAGGAATGTCTATTTGTGTGTCATTGACTAAGTAAAGACATTTGACTGTGTGGATAACAACAAATTGTGGCTAACCCTGAGGAGAGATTGTGCTCATGTGAAACATGTACTTGGACCAGGAAGCAGTCATAAGAACAGAGCAAGGAAACACTGCATGGTTCAAAACCAGGAAGGGAGTGTGTCAGGGATGTGTCCTCTCTTGATACCTTTTCAATCTATAAGTGAAACAGATTGCTCAGGAGGCTGGGCTTTATGAAGAGGATTGTGGCATTAGAATTTGGAGGAAGACTCACCAACAACCTACATTATGCTATAATCTTGCTTGCCAAAACAGAAGAGGACCTGAAGCGTTTGCTGCAGAAGGCTGAGGACTATAGTCTTCAGTATGGATTGAAGCTCAACATCAAGAAGACAAAGATTCTCCCCACTGGATCAATTGGCAGGACCATGATAGATAGAGAAGAGATTGAGATTGTTAACAATTACAGCTTGCTCAGCTCCCCACAATCAACACTCCTGGCTCCAGCAGTCAAGAAATCAAAAGAAGAATTGCACTGGGGAAATCTGCTGTCTGGGAACTCTCAAAGTGCTAAAGACCAACCAACCAACCATGTTAGTCTGGAGACTAAGGTGTGCCTGATGTAGGCCATGGTTTTACAGCAATTACTTGCTGTGCATCAGAGAGCTGAATGATGACTAAGTATGATAGAAGAATTGATACCTTTGAGTTGTGGTGCTGGAGAAGAGTATTGAACATATATACCATAGACTGCCAAGAGAACAAACGAGTTTGCACATAACAATTGAAAAATGACTGGGGTTTGAAAAGCTTGCTTTTCTTGTCCAGAACAAAGAAAGTGAAGAAAACCAAAAGACACATAGGAAAGGTTTATCCAAAGGACTAATGGGCATCTCAACCTCCATGACTCTTAGAGCAAAACGAGAGGATTGCCAGATACCACTACTGAGAGCTCTAAAAAGTATTCTAACAAAAGACCCTGGGCAGAGCAGGATAGAACTGCATAACAAAACTAAAAAACATCAAAATGGCTTGACTGGGGGATCTTCCAAGAGTATGGCCTCTTGGAGCGTGGAACTAAACTCATGCTTGTGGCTCAGTTGTAATCCAGATAACAGACAGGTCTGTAAGATGAACAAAAACACCAGAGAGGTATTTACTCCTTAAAACAATTAACCACACGAAACCAAAAGAACAGTATTTTCCCAGGGATAAAATTCAGAAAGCGGGAAAGGGTAGGATGGAAAGATTAATGGAAACAAGAGTCACAGGAAAGAAGAGGGGAAAGGCCAGTTAAATGATTATTATAATTAATGTAAAGCAAAGTGTGTGTGTATGATTGAACTGAAAAGCAAGTAGCTATGTACATTTCTACTCAAGTTAAATTATCACTATCATAAAAAAATTCATTAACAAAAATCTTTCAGAAAATAGTAAGCTGAGATGGATTTACTGAATTCTATCAAGATATGATCGAAATAAGTTGTTTTCTAAGACCTCCATCAAATACTCTATATTCTACTTGTTATACCATTAATAAATAAGAATTTTCAGTTATTTTTGTCTTCCCACATAGTAGGTCTTAATTAAACAAAGGAAAACAATTAAAAAGATTGTCCATTGTTAGAAGTGACTGTCAGGCTGTTAGCAATTCTCTAGACACTGAACTATTAAGGTTAAGAGTGAGCTGGTTGTTCACAATAGCAAGGAGTTGGAAACAACCTAACTGCCCATCAACAAACGAATGGATAGAGAAGCTGTGGTATATTCACACAATGGAATACTACGCTGCATTGAAAAACAAGGAACTCATGTATTATTATTCAAAATGAGTAACCCTGGAGGACATTATGCAGAGTGAAACATCTCAGTCACAAAAGGACAAATATTGCATAATGCCACTGTTGTAAAACAGGACTGACATCGGGGTTGGGGGGACTCAGAAAGAAGGGTTACATAATGTATACTGCACTGAAACAGATGAGGGAGAAAACTGTTTAAAAGGGATATGTGATTAGG